ACCATCTCTGGCCAATCAGAACTACCATTGGAGTCTTCAGACTCTGATTTGTTAACCTGACCAAATTAATTCATACCACAATGCCAGTGGGTGAAAATGGTTTGATGTACAAGATTTCCATGATATTCAGCCCTAGGCCAGGCTTCCTACGTCCTTGAGTAAAAGCAAAACTGGACAGAGGTATCTCTAGCTCTCTTTTTAAAAATCTGCTTTGGCTCTAAATATTAGATATTGAACTTACACCTAGATCTTTAGGGATAAAATGGATTTTAAAAAGCTAACTCTTTTGCCCAGTTTAAAAAGTGTTTTCTGTTTTTTTTATCTTTACACCCTCATTTACCAGTACTCTAAATTATTTCTTTTAAATCAAACACTTGATTCATGCTCAGATGAATAGTTTCTATCTGCTGAAGGCTTTATACTAACAGAAAAAAAAATTTTAATGTAGTTCATGTCTTAGCATATATTGGGTATTTTTTCTGAATATTGTGTTTTTCTTAAAGTTCTAATTTTGTATTATATTTCATGTAGGTAAGAGATAACAAGATTTGGAGACTTTTAAAAATTTAATATTCACTTAAAATAAAATGTATTCATAAATTGTCCAAAAACATTATGTATAAGTGTTTTCTCTAATATATCTTTTCTAATAGTTGTCTATCATGAGACAGAACTTTTGTTTGCTTTCTACTAATGATTAGTAATGAATTTCAGAAATGACATCTTTATTTGCTTTTGTTTTCAGAGTTGGGGTGATTTAAGGGGGCTATTAATATCATTTTTCTATCCTCTAAAATTGCTTTGTGGAATAGCTTCTCACTGGTCCTTTCATCATATTTGGCAAGTAAAGAGCAAAGGCAACATAAATTTAATTTCAATATACAGGAAGAGAAGAACAATATTAAACAGATCATAATTTTATTGTGTAAGTCTCTTTTTTTTTTTTTTTTTTAAGAGAGACTTTTGCTATAGGGCACATGCACTCACCAGAGAGACAGAGACAGGCAGAGAAACAGAAAGCAAGAAATCATCCCCCGGGTGAAAATGGCCACGCCACAATCCTTTCTCCTCCATTCTCCTCTTGAGATTTTGGGCACGCACACACATACTCCCAGCGTGAATTTTAAGCCACTGAGTCTAAGACTCAAACCACAGTCAACTACACGGGAGTCCAATGACATAACCATTGCGTCACCTGCTGGTCCCTATTGCATAAGTCTTTTTAAAGCACACTTTAAAAAGCTGCAGAAGGGACCAGCAGTTAGTGTAATGGCTATGTCGCTGAACTCCCATGTAGCGGACTGCAGTTTGAATCCCGGACCCGGTGGCTTAAACTCATGCCGGGTACGTGTGCGTGCATGCCCAAGATCCCAAGAGGAGAAGGGATTGTGGTGTGGCCATTCCCCTGGGGGCTGATCTCTCGCTTTTTGTCTCTCTGTCTCTCTCTGTCTTTCTGGCAAGTGCTCGCGCTCTATAGCAAAAACCTCTCCAAAAAAAGCTGCAGAAAGAACAAAATGGTTAGAGTGCTGTGTGCACTGTTGTCAGCATCCAGCTGGGTGCGTGCGTGGTCAGGAGGTGCTGCTCTCTCAGCTGTTTTCTAGAATCCCAAAGGTAACATCACAAGGAGCAGCAGCACACGATGATGGGAAAAATGCTAAAATATGGTTTTCTCTCCAATTCTACCATGTAACTTATCATACGAGTATAGCATGTCCTTCCCCCAGTGAGTCTCTGCCCCTCAACTGGACACTACGAGACTATACTAAAGGAAAGCCAAGTGGTCTGCCCATATCAGGATCCCAGGGACCCCTGTGTTTTTGTAAGACGATGGGAGGCACTGGATGTACCTAACCACCAGCAACCTGTTTTGGATGGCGGATCCTGGGACAGAAAAAGATGGAGGACACCCAGCATCTCAGACCACCAACTTTGGCACAGGCCAAAACAACAAACAAAAGTCTAAATTGTCAGCATATTTTATTGCTAAGGTATGCTATCTCAGAGTGGCTGCATTATCTATCTGTCTGAGATCACCCTGAAAAAAGCAAGAGAGTTGGCAGGAGAGTGTCTACACAAGACTCATAGTTCTGGGCTTCTCCTTCTCTTTCAAGGTCATGTGTGCTCTTCCTGGCTTCCTGGCCATGCCTGAGATGCTATGTCTGAGGGTTACTTTTCTCCAGCAAAAGTATCCGTTCATCAGGTAGCTGCAGGTACTTGGATGCTCAGAGGGAAGGCCCTCTTCAGGCCCTCAAAACTTCCTGGAAGTTCCAGTTCTCTGTCTGAACACAGAGACTTTTTGAGTCAGTGGGAAAAAATGAGCAGAAACTAAGATTTCTTGGTTACTGTACTTCCATAATCAAGTTATAATGAGGTTTAAAACTCAAAGATCTTACAGAACTGAAGATAAATATAATCAGAGATTCCAGAAAAAAATATTTTACAATTCTCAAACAAAGCATGCTTGTTAAAGAGCTTCACTGGCTGAATAAAATCCTAATAGTCTAGATTTGGAGGTAAGGGTGATAACAAGGAGTTAATAAAGCCCAAAAGAAGATAATGCAGCATATGACTTAACCAGCCAGCCACAGGGACAAGACGATTTCTGAAAACTAAAATCCCTTACATCTTTATATTCTGAGGAAGGCAACTGACGTGACAGGAATATTCAAACCAGATTATCCTATTTGCATACAGCAAACGAATTCCTTACACACTGTTGCCATGGCAGCCAGTATATATGGTCCCACGCTTAGGCCCTCCCAGGGCCTGTAGATTCAGTCAAGAGACACCAGACAAGAAAATGAGGACTGGCCTCCCCTTTGACATTTCTCCCTGAGGCTCCTGTAAATGTCCACATGTTCTGGATCACCTCCGAAACCTCAGGCATGGCGATCTGAGCTGGCTCAGAGAGGCAGAATCCAAAACGAATAGGGGCGGGCCTAGTGAGAATAAGGCAATAGACTTGTCTTAATGTACTAATTTCATGTGTTATCATTTCATGTGTTGTCATTTCAGTCCTGTGGGGAATTGTACGTATTTGTAGGGAACTGACTCTAATGTTCTTTTTAAAGATTTATTTATTTATTTACTTATTTATTTTAATTTGCTATAGAGCACATGTGCTTACCAGAGAGAGACAGAGACAGAGGGAAAGTGAGAAAGCAAACCGCTAGGTTCAGGACTCAAACCGCAGTTGGCCATGTGGGAGTCCAGTGGAGTCAGTGGGAAAAAATGAGCAGAAACTAAGATTTCTTGGTTACTGTACTTCCATAATCAAGTTATAATGAGGTTTAAAACTCAAAGATCTTACAGAACTGAAGATAAATATAATCAGAGATTCCAGAAAAAAATATTTTACAATTCTCAAACAAAGCATGCTTGTTAAAGAGCTTCACTGGCTGAATAAAATCCTAATAGTCTAGATTTGGAGGTAAGGGTGATAACAAGGAGTTAATAAAGCCCAAAAGAAGATAATGCAGCATATGACTTAACCAGCCAGCCACAGGGACAAGACGATTTCTGAAAACTAAAATCCCTTACATCTTTATATTCTGAGGAAGGCAACTGACGTGACAGGAATATTCAAACCAGATTATCCTATTTGCATACAGCAAACGAATTCCTTACACACTGTTGCCATGGCAGCCAGTATATATGGTCCCACGCTTAGGCCCTCCCAGGGCCTGTAGATTCAGTCAAGAGACACCAGACAAGAAAATGAGGACTGGCCTCCCCTTTGACATTTCTCCCTGAGGCTCCTGTAAATGTCCACATGTTCTGGATCACCTCCGAAACCTCAGGCATGGCGATCTGAGCTGGCTCAGAGAGGCAGAATCCAAAACGAATAGGGGCGGGCCTAGTGAGAATAAGGCAATAGACTTGTCTTAATGTACTAATTTCATGTGTTATCATTTCATGTGTTGTCATTTCAGTCCTGTGGGGAATTGTACGTATTTGTAGGGAACTGACTCTAATGTTCTTTTTAAAGATTTATTTATTTATTTACTTATTTATTTTAATTTGCTATAGAGCACATGTGCTTACCAGAGAGAGACAGAGACAGAGGGAAAGTGAGAAAGCAAACCGCTAGGTTCAGGACTCAAACCGCAGTTGGCCATGTGGGAGTCCAGTGCCTTAATCACCGTGCCACCTGCTGGCCCCTGGGAATTGACTGTTTTGCACCCAGATGCACATATTCTTTTCCATTAACAAAAGAGAAAAAAAAATGCAGGACTAGAGTTGATACAGTGGTGCTCCTCTTCAGCATCCCTAATTAGAGAGGATGCTGCTAGGAATACTGACTGTTCTCTGCTGCCAGCTCCCAGCTGTAGCCCACACTAGGAGTTGCCTTCCACAACAGGGAACTGCCTCCCTCCAGGCCACATTCCCTCCCAGTGGCGCAAAGCCAGGGATTGACTGATATGAGGATAAATTCAGGACAACTCTGAGAAAGCTTCCCAGCTCTCCATTTCCCCAGTCTCTGCGGAGGCCTCTGTGGCACCACATTGCTGGTCAATGTCTCCTTTGCCTGATCCTGCCTTCCTTGCTTCCCTCCAGGTCTATCTCTCGCAAGAACTCTCCAGTAAACTTTCCATGCACAACTCTCAGAGGCAATTCATAGGAAACCCAGCCTAAGATGAGGTTGAATAAACATGAATGGGCAAATCCACTTACCAAGTCAAGTAAATCTTGGGCTAACAATTTTTGAAACTGAGCCACAACTAATTAGAACATGTTTTTGACAAAATGTTTCCAGTTGGGGAAGAAAATAACCTTTTCCAGTTGCATTCCTATATTTTCTCTATATTTGAAGAAAATACTTATTAAACTTCTGAAGCCGAGAAATATGAATAGTTTGATCACATGGCCTACCTGTAAGAACGCCACATCTGGTAAGGTATCTGTGTACCTGAAACACCAGGTAGGCAGTAAAGCATCTGCTTGCCCCTGGCACTCTGTTCAATCGGCGGTTACCCAACAGGACCCTCTTCCCTCCAGGCCCAGCCACAGCTGTCCTCCCACACAGTGGTCTGCTCTGTAAAACATCCCATAAAACTTCACGACGTTGGGATGGTTAGGAAGAAACTGCAAAATATTGTATTCTGCCTCAATTTCTTCATCCATATCCTAAAGAGGGTTGAAAAACAAAGTGCTTACTGGATGACATCTGATGTGTAAGGAAGAGTATAGAAAGGATATTATGCTTCACTGATCAGCTAAAGCATATTTACTATGTATTTTTTAAAAGGTTTTTTTCTTTTCTTTTCTTTTCTTTATTATTATTGTTGCTGCTGTTCTTTTAACTTGCTATAGTTATCAGAGAGTGAGGGAGAAAGTGAGAAAGCAAGCTGCCAGGTTTGGGACTCAAACCACGATCAGCCACGTGGGAGTCCAGCGCCTCAACCACCACGCCACCTGCTGGTTCCCACACTATGTTTTTGTTTTTTTTTTTTAAGAGAAATTTTTACTATAGGATGCATGCACTCGCTGGAGAGACAGAGAGATGAAAATCAAGAAATCACCTCCCAGGGAGCAGGGGGATGGCCACCTCACAATCCCTTCTCCTCTATTCTTCTCTCAGGATTTTGAGCATGCAAGCACATGCCCCTGGTGTGAATTTTAAGTCACTGGGTCTGGGACTCGAACTGTGCTCGACTGTCTGGGAGTCCGGCAGCATAACCATTACGCCATCTGCTGGTCCCCACACTATGTATTTTTAGTGTCATCATTATCTCCAAAATATCTCACAAAGGATATTTAGATCTCATTTAAACCTTCCAATTATTATATCAATAAAGTGTCTCAATGATACTTACTAAACAATACTATCATAAACATATTTTTTACTGAAAAATGTCTGAATTTTCAGAGCAATTAGGGAGAAGTAGCTCAGAGGGACCCGACACAGAATAGAGCACATACGATCTCACTGTACAAAACAATGTTCAGCATTGCTGCCTCGGGGCTCTGAAATAAGATGTTGGGCTAAGATGACTGAATAGTGCAAGTCTGGGTCACTTTGTAACTTACAGAGAGACCAGGGATTAAAACCTATCCCTCTTTCCAGGACAATAACTTCTCAAGAGCCCAGAGGGACAAAATCAAACCAATAGTAAAATGGACAAGAAAAAAAGTCAAGAAAAGTTTTAATTTCGAGGAGCTAACAAATCACGAGCCATTTTGAGGTTTCATGACTGGTTTCATGACAATTATTTCTAAAATGAGGAAAATAAGTTGAAAGCTAGACTGTGCTTATGGTTTACTACCACCACTTACGCTGACTGGATCCAGGATCTTCACTGCAGCCAGGCTCCCGTCTTGTTTGTTAGTGACCTTGTAGACCTTGCCATACGTGCCTTTACCAATGGTCTCTATAATTTCCCAGGTGTCCATGGGATCCGGAAGTGATTCGAGCCCAAGCATTGTGGAGTTGTAGTGAAATAATCCATACAGATGTTTCCTGTGGGAAGAAGAATTTGTTATGTGCCGCAGGTCACAGGACTGGAGGCAGTGGGCTTTTGAAATAAAAACATTTCTGTTTCTTAATCAGCAATCTTGTGTCACTTTTTCTTTTTCATTTCTTCCTACATTTTAAGCAAATAAAAAAAGAATTTGAAGCCTCCACAAGAAACGGTAACAGAAAATAGAGTGGAGGAGTAACAGGAAACATCACAGTTCTAAAAGCAGAGATTATGTACCCATGGCAGGAGGGAATCAAAGCGCCAAGGAGGACATTCTGGTCACGACTGGACAGTTGTCTCTCCGCTGCTTAGTGGGGGCTCCTGTGGTTGCTACTGGGAAAGTGGCTAAGAACCATGTCGAAAACTTCTGTCCCCAGGTTACGGTAACCTTGACCAAGGCTCCCTGGTCACCTCTGGAAACTAATCCCCAACTTCTGTTTGCAATGTCTGGATGTCTGAAAAGGAGGATTTGGGTCATTAATCGGGCATCAATCAATACAATACATTGGGATCTGTAAAGAGGGGTCAAACTCAGATCCCTTTCATACAGCAGTAGCCTGTTGTGGGAATCACACTGAAGATTTAGCCAGGAGCTGCAAACTCGCTTTGCCTTAGTTAGCAGTACTCCATTTAAGGAAACAGTTCTGTGGAGTTTAAGTACCAACAGAAAGCTTATCAAGCAAAGCCACTCAAGTCTTATTCCCATGAAAACGTCCCTTCAAGTTTGGTTGTTCTTAGGCTGGCTATATGAAGGGTCCTATTTCTGGTCTGATTCTAAACCCTCATGAAAACGTCCCTTCAAGTTTGGTTGTTCTCAGGCTGGCTATATGAAGGGTCCTAAATCTGGTCTGATTCTAAACCCCAGAGGAGGGGGCCACCAGCCTCCAATAACAAGCCATGGCATCCAACCCCTATGTTATGGCTTAGGGTCCACACAGAGTGATCACATTTGCCTCATGCCAGACATTTCAATTTGCACTTTGAATTCTAGTTATTAACTAGATTGCATTCTCCCAAAGCAAAGCCCTATTTTTTTTTAGACGTTTTTGCCATAGGGCATATGCACTCACCAGAAAGACAGAGAGAGACAGAGAGTGAGAAATCACCCCCCCAGGGGGATAGCCATGCTGCAATTCCTTCTCCTCCACTCTCCTCTCGGAATCTTGGGCATGCACGCACATATACCCAGTGTGAGTTTAAGTCACTGGGTCTAGGACTTGAACCGTGGTCGACTACACGGGAGTCCAGCAACCTAGCCATTACACCAACTGCTGGTCCGAAAGCAAAGCCTTTTGACTGCTTACAAGAATTTACCTTTTTTACCTTATCTTCTCCATTCTAAAAACAAAACAAAACAAAAAATACACTACTCTCCAAAGGGGCTGCAACCAATCAGTACCTTGAGGGTCCAGGAAAAGCCTACCTTGGGCTGAGCATTGACCTAAAAGGTCGGCTGGTCAAACAACTCCTGCCTTTCATGTTCTAGCATGCTCAGGAACTGCAGCCTTTCCACCCATTCAGTGTTTCACAATATCGATCTTTCTCACCACATGCTTCATAATTGTTGCTATATTTGCACATACCTCACTGGAAAGAGAAAGTGAGAAATCATCCCCAGGGTTGATGGTCATGCCACAATCCCTTTTCCTCTATTTTCTACTTGGGATTTTGGGTGCACACACACATAAGCATCTGATGTGATTTTCAAGCCACTGGGTCCCAGACACGAACCTTGATTGGCCATGTGGGAATCTAGCACCTTAACCACCACAGCACCTACTGGTCCCAACAAATGCTTTTAAATTACTTACTGTTTCACTGGGGGGGAAAATGCCTTTTAAAGACACTACCTAGGGACCAGCAGATGGCATAATGGTTGAATCACTGGACTCCCCTGTAGTTGACTGTGATTCACGTTCCAGACCCAGAGGCTTAAACTCATGCCAGGCACATGTGCATACAAGCCCAAAATCCTGAGAGAATGGAGGAGAAGGGATTGCAGTGTGGCCATGTCTCCAGGGAGTAATTCCAGGGAGTAATTTCTCACTTTCTGTCTCTCTATGTCTGTATCTCCAGTGAGCGCACATGCCCTATAGCAAAAATCTCTCTCAAAAAAAAAAAAAAAGGCACTACCCTAAATGCAAAACCAGTATTATTTGTCATATATCAAAATTAACTGCACAAAGGTGATCGCACTAAGAATAATAGAGATTTATCCAAGTCCAGGTAGATATTGCTGGCCCAGAGCTCCAGCCTAAGGCTATCTTTCTTAAAAAGAGATCACCAGTGATGAAGGGGAATTAAACGCCACAAAAATATTTCCCTTGATTCTATCAGAAGATCTGAAAGAGTTATTTGGCAAGATAATAATGTTTCCATGACACTATTCGGTGGTCTCTGTTATGAAATCCCCCAAACTTCTCAACACCTGGGAACATTACTCTAGGCTTGGCTCCTACAAAAGCCAAAAGCAGGACAAGCTGGGGTGCTGGTCAAGGACAGACAGGCTAGGGAGAGCTCCAAGATATGATTCCATCAGCCTCACACTCACCAGTGAGGTCCCTGCTCCCCATCAGCAGGGGCACCTGCATCTGAGCTCAGTGTCAGGAAACCCGAACTGCACCACCCTGGCCCGGCCCTGACACAGCAGATAATTACTCATTTCTGCCTCAGTTTTAGCACCTCCATCATGGGGTCAGTGCCTGCTGCTCATGATGCTACCTACTTCACAGCGCTGCTAGAAGGATTGAGAGAAGGTAACAGGATCCAGTGGGCACGGTGAGAGCTCAGTAAGTATCATCTGTCGTTGCAACAGCACGGCACCGAGATCTGCCTCGGAACAGGCCAGGCTTAGCAGACACGTCTCCATTTTCCTTTATTTTGCTTTTAGCCACCATCTAAATGAGAGCTAAACAAGGTTTGCTCCAATCAGTTATTAGTTTCAGACAGATGGCTGGAATTCAGCTTATGCGAATAAAATTATGGAATGTGGCAGCATGGGGAGACCTTGAAGACCACTAAATCAAGTGGCTAATGATTTTTGGCTGTAAAACTCTTCGGTTTCACTTATCTCTCTTAGGATGCTGACTATAAGCTGACAGAAGTTGTGCAGCTCTGGCTGAGGTGAGCTGAGGAACTAAATACTGTCCTGTGTTCCCTGTGGGAGCCCTCTAAGGTGAACAACCATTCCAGTTTACCTGGGACCGTCTCTGGGTTTTTTTGGAGAGGTTTTTTCTATAGGGTGCATGCGCTCGCCAGACAGACAGAGAGAGAGAGACAGAGAGACAGAAGGCGAGAAATCACCCCCCAGGGGGATGGCCACGCCGCAATCCCTTCTCCTCCGTTCTCCTCTCGGGATCTTGGGCACGCACGCACACGTGCCTGGTGTGAGTTTTAAGCCACCAGGTCCGGGACGCAAACCGCGGTCGACTACATGGGAGTCCAGCGACATAGCCATTACGTTAATTGCAGGTCCCGGACCGTCTCTGTTTTCACACTGAAAATCTTACATCCTGGAAAACTCTTCAGAATACCAGCATACCAGCTCAATTTATGAGCTTTGCCTCTGGGGCCTTCTCAGGACACACATCTCCTCAGGCCGTTCTTTGAAAACCTTCCCTACCTCATCTTCTTTTGTGGGATGACTTATGTCCCCACCCCAAATTCATATGTTCAATTCCCAACCCCTATTGCTCAGAATGTGACTCTATTTGGAGATAGATCCTTTTAAGAGTCAGTTATAGTAAAATGAGATCATGAGTTTGGGGACATATGCAATCACATGACTGGCATTCTTATAAGAAGAGGAATTAGGCATTCTTATAAGAGGGAAGACCATGTGAGGACTGAGGGAGAAGAGAGCTCTTTACAAGTCAAGGAGAGAGGCAGGCCTCTGAAGGAAACCAACCCTGCCCACACTTTGATTTTGAACTTCCAGCCTCGAGAACTGTCAGAAAATAAACTTCTGTGGTTTAATCTACCCAGTCTATGGTACTCAGTTATGGCAGCCCAAGCAGACTACGTACACCCATTAGAGATGAAGAAACTAAAACCCAGAGTGTTGACAAAGCTGCTTATGGGCAGTTTGGGAACGGAAAAGCATTATTTTCTAAGCCCCATCCCATGGCCTTCCTCCACGGAATAGCACAAGGAAGGTTAGCTGGTTAGCAACAGTTAGTTCTTTCTGATCCACTGTTCCAAAAGGCGAAAAGTTCCCTGAGGGAAATATCCCAATCACGTGGCAGCCAAATGTCCCTTGGACCTAGCAAATACCAATCTTCCATCCCCCTCTAAAATGAAAACAACTCACCTGAGGGATTCATCTATCATCAGTGCCAGTAATGGGTGAGTAGAAGGCAGATCCATCAGGTTTACTGCCATGTCCAGCATGCGGTCTCTGGACATCCACAGACAATGTTAAATAAAGGTACGGCAGAACAGGTGTATTACTAACAGGGTTGCCTGTCTCTCTCTCTCTCTCTCTCTTTCTTTTTTCATTTTGTTTTGCCATAGGGTGCATGTAGTTGCCAGAGAGAGAGACTGTGAGAGGAAAAGAGAAATCACCCCCAAGGGGAGATAGCCATGCTACAATACCTTCTCCTCTATTCTCTTCCTGGGATTTGGCATACACAAGAACACACATGAGTTGCAAGCTGCCTGGTTCAAGACTCAAACCATGGTGGACCATGTGGAAGTCTAACGCCTTAACTATCATGCCACCTGCTGGTCCCATCTGTATTCTCTCTTTAAAACCAATAGCTGACTCTATAAACTCTGACAATTGGTTAAACAGCTCAAAGAGTGTCTTTTATACAGCCCTCAAAGGTGCTGATAATGTGGACCAGGGAGGTGAATGGAGCAGTCCTCTTACAAGCCACTCCTGGCCAGAATGTTAACTTGGACTTCTCTCTGATTCTGTGCTTAGGTCACGGGAGAGCCAGGGTTGACCAAATAAAGGGTCAAGGGCAGTTCAGAGTGAGAGGAATGATATCTGGGACCTCAGGAGTCTGCAGAACACTCAGAAGTCCATGAAGAGACACCTGGGCTACTCACAATCCCAGAAATGGAGGCTCCATGCATTTATTT